GCAATGCCTCTTAGAACCAGTGACTCCCCAATGCCCCTATGCAGCAATTGCAATGGGAAATCAAACATCGCTCCAAGAACTGGCTGAACATTTTGCAGACGAGTTCTCACGCCCCATAAGCCCTCCCCAAGGAAATCCGCCTTCTAAAAGGCCCCCCCTTCCAACCTATTCAACAATCAACATAGACAATGACTTTACCTTGTCCGAGCTCCGATATGCCCTCTCCCGATGCCCTCGACGTGGAGCTCCGGGTCCTGACCGCATCACAAACCAGGCTCTAAAAAACCTAGACGAGTCATTCTTACCCGGGCTGTTACAACTTATAAACAATATTTGGCAATCTGGGGATGTCCCTGACACCTGGCGACACTCAGTAATAGTACCAATCAAAAAAACTAACAAGCCTGCAGCTGACATATCTTCGTACCGTCCGATTTCTTTGACTTCGTGCTTATGCAAACTGACTGAGCGCCTGATCCACCGCCGTTTAAATTGGCGATTGGAACAAGCGCAAGCCTTTCCGTCTCAGCTGTCAGGATTCCGACGAAGCCGGTCAACAACAGATGCCATCGGCGACATCGTATCGTCGTTAGAGCAAGCAAAGGCAGAAGGAAAGGTCATCCACACCGTTTTTCTCGACATCCATCGAGCATTTGATGCTCTGCCACACTCTGTAATCCTAGAACGACTACAGAACACAGGAATAGAAGGGCGCGCCCTTCGCTTCATTACTTCTTTTCTTCACAACAGAACATTCGCTGTCCGACTGGCTGGCCGCCTGAGCACGATACGCAGCAGCACCCAGGGGGTACCACAGGGCAGTGTTTTGAGTCCTCTGCTTTTTAACATCGTAATGGCTGGACTACCGACTGCTCTTCCTGTGGGTGGCCCTTATCCCATACACTGTGCCATATACGCGGATGACGTCGCGCTATGGTGCGCTGGGCCTACCCGACTGTCCACTACCGTCCGCGCAGTGCTACAACGAGCTCTAGATCGCACGGCCTCCTTCCTCCACCATGCCGGTCTGACACTCTCTACATCTAAGACACAAGCTCTCACCTATCGCCCTAAAGGCAGAATGAAAGGAAAATACTCTGCACTTAAAATTGGAGGCAATGCCATTCGACGTGAACCACAAGTTCGATACTTAGGCGTTATCATTGACGACCGCGTCACTTGGCGCCCCGCGGTAAAAGGTATCCTCAATGAGTCCCATAAGCTCCTCGGCGCTCTCCATCGAATATCTGGAAAAAACTGGGGTGCCAGACAGATGACAATGACGACACTCTACCGAGGACTAATAATAAGTCGTATGCTCTACGCCTTGCCATTCTTAAATATAAATCATACGCAATGGAAATATTTAGAAACCTTTCACAGGAAGGCCCTCCGTTTCTGCCTAGGGCTACCTAAATCCGCACAGAACATTCCCACTTTGACCGAGGCGGGAGATTCTCCACTGCAGCTCCAAGCACAGGAGAAAGCATTAAGATATGTCAGCCGTCTATCAGATGCTCCATCCTCGGACCCACTTCTTCAACGCCTCATAACACGACACCACTCTCAGGTTGGAAAGGCTGTAAAAACATTCCGCGATACTATCGGCTACCCAACGGATGTATGCCCGATACCTCCCCCTTATCGGGACGACTGTCAACTCCACGTCTCAGCAGAGATAGCCGACCTCCCCCGACGCAAGCACGTTTCTGAAGTGGTAGCGCGGAGCATCGCCGTTGAGACAATAGAAAATACCTACTCCGGCATGACGCACATTTATACCGATGGAAGCATAAAAGACAGCTCGTGCACTGCAGCCTATGTCTCGCCTGAAGATGGACACCACGGTAAAGGGCGAATTGATATCTGCGTTGATTCCACCACTGCAGAGCTTGCTGCCATTTGGTTAGCAATTACCCAAACTCTACGACACACCAACCTATCCAACATCGCCATCTTCTCGGACTCTCGAGGCGCCTTACAGCAACTAACGCGCCTGGAAAAAGCGTGCCCACTAGCCAGATCCATCGCAAATTTGACCAGGCGCGCTGCAAAACAGGAAACAACCATCTGGTTTCAATGGATCCCATCACATGTAGGTATACCCGGAAATGAAAGAGCAGATTCGCTGGCAGCAGAGGCCCACTCAGACCAAAGTCCCACTATCTTTGTCCACCCGTACAACGCAGCAAAATCTCTTATAACAACGGCAATAGAAAGCATGCACCCGTATATTGAAACCAATTCAACACCCATTCCAGCATTGATTCCGCGAAAAAGGTTCTCCAGGCCTCAACAATCACTCCTACACAGGTTGCGAGCCGACTGCGCTTCAACCAACAAGAGACTTCACCTCATCAAGCGCATTAAGTCTCCCAACTGCACCACATGCAACATCATCGAAGACAGAAACCACATTATTTGGGAGTGTCAGTCGCTAGAAACAGAGCGAACCACACTAACGCAAACACTGAAGGCTCTCCATGTTTCGCCGGGGGATTCCAACGCTCTCCTCTTCCCATCAGGATCCCGGACGAGAAGAACAAATATACTGAAAGCCCTCATTGACTTTTTAGAAACGACAAACCTGTCATCAAGACTGTGAACTAGCATACAACATGCCTTCATCCTATGGCCGCCGATGGGTCGAAGCGGCGGGTGCTTCGTTCCGTCGCCCTGGTCGTGGCGGGGGCACTCGTGCCCCGGCGCTTTGGCTTCTTGAAGTCAGCGCCCAGCAGGGGAGCGCGTGCTCCGGCTGCGTTTGGGGCGGCGGTGGGATGCGACCTGTCCTTCCATCGCAACGGTGGCTATACCCTTTATTTCTGTAAATACGCCCATCCCCATTATCACCTCCTACCCTATCTTCTTTTTCTCCCGATCCCCGCAAGACGACGAACCAGACCCCTCCATGGGTGACTAACAATGCGTCTTGCATCCCTCTTTCTATTTTATTTATTCTTTAAATTTTATAATAAAAGCAATATTTACACACACACTACCTGGGCGCTTCCTCGTCTTGTGCAGAGCAGGTGCAACAGCCGATCGTCATGATTCAAGAGTGCGACATCCTCAGCATTAGATTCGGTGTTAGGAAGCTCATCTAATGTTGCTTCGCTTTGTCGCACACTGTTTAAAGTGGAAGACGGAAAAGCGTTTCTTGTTATTTCAGATAAAGCTTCAAATAACTGGCAACCATGATTTTAAGCCACAATATGGCCAAGTGTCGCTACTCTGACGCGTAGCTTATTTAATGACACTATTCATGCTCTTGTTCAAGAGGCTTCTAAAACCTGGAGGGGCCAAGACGTAAGCCCCGTGGATTCCACAAGCCACTACCTTTTGACACCTGCCTCTTCTTCATTGTTCCCGCTTGTGCCAGTAAATTAGCTACGGTTCAGAGTAACGACACTTGGCCATATTGTGGCTTAAAATCATGGTTGCCAGTTACCTGAAGCTTTATTTAAAATCACAGGAAACGCTTTTCCGTCCCCCACAAATGTTTAAACTACCCGTGACAGAGCATTGCAATATTGCATCAGCTTCCTAGCACCGCATATAATGCTGAGGAAGTCGTGCTTTTGGATCATGATGATCGGCAGTTGCGTTTGCACTGAACAGGACCCAAAATGGCGGCGCCCAAAACAATTTTGGGGAACGGAGTGCCGATACTTTAAAGCTCATTCAGTGACTCTAGGCATGAAGTGAACTCGGGTGTATTATTTTCCTCTTCGTCTTTATTGTCTATTGATTTCAATCATATCGAATAATTAAGAGATTATATCACGCTACGCGTGTGTAATTATTTGTCTTAGATTTATTAACCTGACCCAGTACTTAAACCATTCATTTATCGATAGTAAATCTTCCAATATATTTTTTAAATGTGAAGGTAAAAAGACGCGGCGATTGATGATGATACAGACGCCAACGCCGCCCTCGGAAATTTTTCGAACACTAGAAATCAGCATTTTGTCTGCCATCCGTCAGGTAGCGCAACAAAACACCCAAACAGTTTTTAATTGTTTTTAAAAGTAGCTAAGCTCTACACCTATTATGAAACCAAAGCAAGATCATTGTGAAAATTTAATACATCGCAATGTATGTCTATTCCAAACAATAAATGTTATTAGATGCCAATAAATCTGTTTGATGTCCAAAAAGATATGCGTCAAAAACAGGTAAGTTTGAAGGGCTCCTGGAGCGTTATGACTTTGAAAATGAAAAAAAGCCATCGTCCACCTCTTGGGCAACCATTGTAGCTCTAAATGTTATAAAATATTTTATCATAGTTTAAATATTTCCTCAGCGGCATTTGAAGTACGATGACTCAAAGCACAAAAAAGTGCTACGTTTGATATAAAATATCTAAACAAAAAATTTTTACACAACATTAAATTTTTTTCTGCATATTACCAATTATAAGCACTACAACTGTAGTTAATTTCATTTCCCTAGCGCTTGTCAATAAAAACATATTTGTGCTGAAAAATGTCAATTTTAGGGCAATATTTGGAGGGACGAAAAAAACAAAGTAGTGCAAATACCAAAAAAGTGTATCGTTACATTTTGCTCCGACATCATCTTAACAAAACTGCTATATTGGAACCGTGCTATCTTTAATGGATCGTTCATAAAACATGAACTAGCGGAGCAAGTGAGGGTCCGCGCCAAAATATTCGCAACGCTACAAACGCGCATGAACAGTAAAATCCAACACATACATAATATCAAATAAAAGAGGATTGCATTACCTTTCGAATGACATCAATCCCACAAAACAGTATTTATAAGGAGATGAGTAATGACCTGCCAAAAAGTACCTAAACAGTCCATTCAGTGGGACCGTGGCCTTAAAAGCACGGAACTGGATGCATAACAACAGAGCTTTAAGCCATTGTTATTGGTGACTCTTAAAAGTCGCAGACAAGCCCGTCCGGCCCGCAGTCGATGCAAGTCGGGCACAGGCCTCTTCACATTGGAATGGGTCTCTTCGTTCGCAGGCACGTGGTGGGCTTCGACATAGACGCGGCTGCCCTGGGAGTCTGTTCCAGGAACTGCGAGGAGATGGAGATCACGGCCGTCGACCTTGTGCAGTGCGACCTGTCCCTGCCGCCAGATCACCGCTGGCGGGGATTCTTCGACACCGTCGTCATGAACCCTCCGTTTGGCACAAGGACAAAAGGCAAGTTGCCAGACAAGACGGGGCCGTAATCGTTGACAGAGTGAGAATGCAGAGCAGGGCATCCCTTTCGAACACTTGGCCTCCAGCACGCGCTCCTCGCCTTATGTTGTTGCACCTTGGCTATACGCGTAAGCTCGAGGCGCACGAAACGCCAAAACTTTGTCAAAGGGGGTAAGTTCGCTCTCGAGGCGGAACTACCGAAGCTCCTCCACGTTTTCTTTCATCTTGGCTGCCCACTGCCCCGACATGAGTGGTGTAAATAGAGATTCTTTCTCCCTCTCGGCAACAACTGCAGCACGCCACGGCCCTTTTCAACGCCGGCAGTGGCGAGCGTTGGGTCATCCTTAGTTTACTGTAATATCCTGAGTCGTCGTCCGTCACTGAATCGTCGCCGACGGCACTTTTCGGGCAAAATATTGATTTCTGAGAGAGCACTGAGTTGTCGCCCGCCCCTACAGTTACCCTGCAGACCTCGGGAACTTTACTTTCTTCACGCATCCTCCCTGATTTCCACGACTCTAAAGTGGGAGAATGTTCGTAAGCAAGAAGAATGGTGTAGGTAACAGAATAAAGCTTTCTTTTGTTGACAAGCAAATTTTACAAAAAAAAAATTAGTTTGCTAACACAACCAGTATGCCATTCACAGGTCAGCGAACACCCATTCGGTGGGAATGTTACCGCGGAATGTCAAAGAATGTTGATAGCAAGGGGGAAAGAATGGATAACACAAGGATGCTTTCTTTTGTTTATAACCGTACCCTGGAGTATGCCGTACTCTGGAGGATAGCATACCCTGGAGGATAATGTACCGTGGAGTATGCCCTAGTCTGGGATTCCCCTCTCTCTTTTGTTCTCTACGCTTCTAGAGTTCGAAGTTGACAATGGGTTCTGTGCTTTCCCATGTTGGCAACCTCTGGGTTTACATTCGGTCTGTATACGATGCTGGGCTGGGCTGAGCTGAGCTGACCTGAGCTGAGGTACTGACGTGCTCGACGGGACACCAGTATTGTGCTTCAGGAAGAGCTGGTGAATCTTCGGGAACGGAAGCTTCATTATGAACAGTGGGTAACACAGTTGCCTTGTTCTGGTGGTTCGCCCCCTCGATGTACCCTGGGGTATGCCCTAGTCTGGGATTCCCCTCTCTCTTTTGTTCTCTACGCTTCTTGAGTTCAAAGTTGACAATGGGTTCTGTGCCTTCCCATGTTGGCAACCTCTGGGCTTACATTCGGTCTGTATACGATGCTGGGCTGAGCTGAGCTGAGCTGAGCTACTGGCACGCTCGAAGGAACACCAGTATTGTGCTTCAGGAAGAGCTGGTGAATCTTCGGGAACGGAACCTTCATTATGAACAGTGGGTAACACAGTTGTCTTGTTCTGGTAGTACGCCCCCTCGACATACCCTGGAGTATGCCCTAGTCTGGGATTCCCCTCTCTCTTTTGTTCTCTACGCTTCTAGAGTTCAAAGTTGACAATGGGTTCTGTGCTTTCCCATGTTGGCAACCTCTGGGTTTACATTCGGTCTGTGTACGATGCTGGGCTGAGCTGAGCTGAGCTGAGCTGAGCTGAGCTGAGCTACTGGCGCGCTCGAAGGAACACCAGTATTGTACTTCAGGAAGATCTGGTGAATCTTCGGAAACGGAAGCTTCATTATGAACAGTGGGTTACACAGTTGTCTTGTTCTGGTGGTACGCCCCCTCGACGTACCCTGGAGTATGCCCTTGTCTGGGATTCCCCTCTCTCTTTTGTTCTCTACGCTTCTAGACTTCAAAGTTGACAATGGGTTTTGTGCCTTCCCATGTTGGCAACCTCTGGGTTTATATTCGGCCTGTATACGATGCTGGGCTGAGCTGAGCTGAGCTGAGCTACTGGCGCGCTCGAAGGAACACCGGTATTGTGCTTCAGGAAGAGCTGGTGAATCTTCAGGAACGGAAGCTTCATTATGAACAGTGGGTAACACAGTTGTCTTGTTATGGTGGTTCGCCCCCTCGACGTACCCTGGAGTGTGCCCTAGTCAGGGATTCCGCTCTCTCTTTTGTTCTCTACGCTTCTAGACTTCAAAGTTGACAATGGGTTATGTGCCTTCCCATGTTGGCAACCTCTGGGTTTACATTCGGTCTGTATACGATGCTGGGCTGAGCTGAGCTGAGCTACTGGCACGCTCGAAGGAACACCAGTATTGTGCTTCAGGAAGAGCTGGTGAATCTTCAGGAACGGAAGCTTCATTATGAACAGTGGGTAACACAGCTGTCTTGTTCTAGCGGTTCGCCCCCTCGACGTACCCTGGAGTATGCCCTAGTCTGGGATTCCCTTCTCTCTTTTGTTCACTATGCTTCTAGAGTTCAAAGTTGACAATGGGTTCTGTGCCTTCCCATGTTGGCAACCTCAGGGTTTACATTCAGTCGGTATACGGTGCTGGGCTGAGCTGAGCTGAGCTACTGGCACGCTCGAAGGAACACCAGTATTGTGCTTCAGGAAGAGCTGGTGAATCTTCTGGAACGAAACCTTCATTATGAACAGTGGGTAACACAGTTGTCTTGTTCTGGGGGTTCGCCCCCTCGACGTACCCTGGAGTGTGCCCTAGTCTGGGATTCCCCTCTCTCTTTTGTTCTCTACGCTTCTTAGACTTCAAAGTTGACAATGGGTTCTGTGCCTTCCCATGTTGGCAACCTCTGGGTTTACATTCGGTCTGTATACGATGCTGGGCTGGGCTGAGCTGAGCTGAGCTGAGCTGAGCTGAGCTGAGCTGAGCTGAGCTGAGCTGAGCTGAGCTGAGCTGAGCTACTGGCACGCTCGAAGGAACACCAGTATTGTACTTCAGGAAGATCTGGTGAATCTTCGGGAACGGAAGCTTCATTATGAACAGTGGGTTACACAGTCGTCTTGTTCTGGTGGTACGCCCCCTCGACGTACCCTGGAGTATGCCCTAGTCTGGGATTCCCCTCTCTCTTTTGTTCTCTACGCTTCTAGACTTCAAAGTTGACAATGGGTTTTGTGCCTTCCCATGTTGGCAACCTCTGGGCTTACATTCGGTCTGTATACGATGCTGGGCTGAGCTGAGCTGAGCTGAGCTACTGGCACGCTCGAAGGAACACCAGTATTGTGCTTCAGGAAGAGCTGGTGAATCTTCGGGAACGGAAGCTTCATTATGAACAGTGGGTAACACAGTTGTCTTGTTATGGTGGTTCGCCCCCTCGACGTACCCTGGAGTGTGCCCTAGTCTGGGATTCCGCTCTCTCTTTTGTTCTCTACGCTTCTAGACTTCAAAGTTGACAATGGGTTATGTGCCTTCCCATGTTGGCTACCTCTGGGTTTACATTCGGTCTGTATACGATGCTGGGCTGAGCTGAGCTGAGCTACTGGCACGCTCGAAGGAACACCAGTATTGTGCTTCAGGAAGAGCCGGTGAATCTTCAGGAACGGAAGCTTCATTATGAACAGTGGGTAACGCAGCTGTCCTGTTCTAGTGGTTCGCCCCCCCGACGTACCCTGGAGTATGCCCTAGTCTGGGATTCCCTTCTCTCTTTTGTTCACTATGCTTCTAGAGTTCAAAGTTGACAATGGGTTCTGTGCCTTCCCATGTTGGCAACCTCAGGGTTTACATTCAGTCGGTATACGATGCTGGGCTGAGCTGAGCTGAGCTACTGGCACGCTTGAAGGAACACCAATATTGTGCTTCAGGAAGAGCTGGTGAATCTTCGGGAACAGAACCTTCATTATGAACAGTGGGTAACACAGTTGTCTTGTTCTGGTGTTTCGCCCCCTCGACGTACCCTGGAGTATGCCCTAGTCTGCGATACCCCTCTCTCTTTTGTTCTCTACACTTCTAGACTTCAATGTTGACAATGGGTTCTGTGCCTTCCCATGTTGGCGACCTCTGGGTTTACATTCGGTCTGTATACGATTCTGGGCTGGGCTGAGCTGAGCTGAGCTACTGGCGCGCTCGAAGGAACACCAGTATTGTGCTTCAGGAAGAGCTGGTGAATCTTCGGGAATGGAACCTTCATTATGAACAGTGGGTAACACAGTTGTCTTGTTCTGGTGGTTCACCCCCTCGACGTACCCTGGAGTATGCCCTAGTCTGGGATTCCCCTCTCTTTTTTGTTCTCTACGCTTCTAGAGTTCAAAGTTGACAATGGGTTCTGTGCCTTCCCATGTTGGCGACCTCTGGGTTTACATTCGGTCTGTATACGATGCTGGGCTGAGCTGAGCTGAGCTGAGCTACTGGTGCGCTCTAAGGAACACCAGTATTGTGCTTCAGGAAGAGCTGGTGAATCTTCGGAAACGGAACCTTCATTATGAACAGTGGGTAACACAGTTGTCTTGTTCTGGTGGTTCGCCCCCTCGACGTACCCTGGAGTGTGCCCTAGTCTGGGATTCCGCTCTCTCTTTTGTTCTCTACGCTTCTAGACTTCAAAGTTGACAATGGGTTATGTGCCTTCCCATGTTGGCAACCTCTGGGTTTACATTCGGTCTGTATACGATGCTGGGCTGGGCTGAGCTGAGCTGAGCTGAGCTGAGCTACTGGCACGCTCAAAGGAATACCAGTATTGTGCTTCAGGAAGAGCTGGTGAATCTTCGGGAACGGAACCTTCATTATGAACAGTGGGTAACACAGTTGTCTTGTTCTGGTAGTACGCCCCCTCGACATACCCTGGAGTATGCCCTAGTCTGGGATTCCCCTCTCTCTTTTGTTCTCTACGCTTCTAGAGTTCAAAGTTGACAATGGGTTCTGTGCTTTCCCATGTTGGCAACCTCTGGGTTTACATTCGGTCTGTGTACGATGCTGGGCTGGGCTGAGCTGAGCTGAGCTGAGCTGAGCTGAGCTGAGCTGAGCTACTGGCGCGCTCGAAGGAACACCAGTATTGTACTTCAGGAAGATCTGGTGAATCTTCGGGAACGGAAGCTTCATTATGAACAGTGGGTTACACAGTTGTCTTGTTCTGGTGGTACGCCCCCTCGACGTACCCTGGAGTATGCCCTAGTCTGGGATTCCCCTCTCT